ATTATATTAAAATGAAAAAATCCATAATTTTTAATTTTCTTATATTAGTTGGTAATGAACTATTTAGTGATTCAAGTTGTGGCGAAAGTTGAGAATTATTGATTACAATAGCGTATGTTGCTCGAATATTTTCCATATAGGTCTTGTTGTACCACCAGACAATTTCAGACATCGAGAATCCAATTGAAGGCATGCAGCCAATCCTTATCTCATAAAAAACTTGTACAAAATCAAATACACTGGATCCATTTGTATATAAGATAGGTCTCAAAACGCATTCATGAATATCTCTTGCACACGAACATGGATCACTGGAGCCCGCAGACGTATGAGTTATAGACGCTTTCCCTATAATCTGCACATCATTAATATTTACTTGATTGTCATTCGTCACTGTAATTTGATAATTGACATTTGTTGCAGTCAAAAAACGATTGATAATACCAGCAATATCAACCCATTTCAAAGTGCGTACATAAATATTTCTTGTTTTATTTATAAATGCATTGGCCAAAGTTTTAGTTTCTTGAATGAAGAGTGATTGGGGAAGAAGATTATTCTCGATGAACAGGCTATTTTTAAAAATACGTTGACCATCGGCAATATTGGCTTGAGCCAAAGAACAAAAAGTAGCCAAAAGTTGAAAATACCAGAGTCCTATAGAACGAAAATCACGTGAAAAATCTGTCTCTGTCCAAATAGGTACATCATTTGGATCGAATAATAACAGATAATTGAGCCAATTGGATGAAACTAAATCACTTGAACATACTTGATGTAAGACAAATGTTACATTAAGAAATGCTTCATGAGGAATGGAAAAATTTGCACAAGGACATTGTATGCTAGTTGAATATTCAGCATATAATTTTTCATAGGTTTCGAGAGATGGATGCATGATTGTCATCATTTGATTTTGTTCTGATAAAAATATATAAAAACCAATAATAATTGAACACATAACCAATGTAATAATAAAGAGTCGTGTTGATAAGATCTCATGTTTGACATTTGCTTCTGTCCGAGATGTTTCACTTTCAAAAAGATTTAATTTTATAAGTTTTTGAGAGATTATGTGTGGCAAACGTCGAATATGATTCATCATAACTGGCACTAAGAAAAGTTAAACTTTAAATTTTAGGAAAAAAGCTTTTATGATTAATCACATTGTTAGAACAACTGTAAAACAACGTCTTAGTTTTCGATTCAGTGTTGAGACAGTTAACATGAAAAATAATTAGGAGTACTGCCTTATAACGACCAAAAGATGCAGCTTACTCACTCTGAATGTTATAAATCCTATAGTTGCTACGCTCACTTCGACACTTATTCATTTTAGAAAAATATGTATTAAAATTTGATTTATCTAACATTATGATATTTTTTAAAAATGTATTCGCATTGTTAATAATACGAACAAATTAATAGAAAAACAAGTTTAATATTATTTTATCATAGTTCTAATTGGAATTCTTTTCAGGTTGAAATTTAATAACTGAAACGAAAATATATATTGAAAAATGTATCTTTAATACTCAATTTATCTGTCGCAGGAAACAATCAATAAAAGTGCAATCTTCGTTTCATTTTTTTTATGTAGTATATTAACATACCAAACTTTTAGTTAAAACTTACATTCACTATGTTCTTCGAAAATATACTTGAGTTTCATAAAAGAAACAATTACGAGATTTGGTACGGTCGAAAGAAATAATCAATGAATTTTCTCGTCGTCTATCTAAATCTGATTCATCATGTCACTCATTTTCTTTTAGAACTTACACAGATGTCGTCGAGAAATCACAACATTCTCTAGTATGTTATCTTTTTCTGAAATTCTAGTTGTCCACCGAATGAAAGCTTGTGCAATAAATGGTGCAATAAGACGCAGTATAAGCGAAAGTGTACCGAATGCTCCAACTGTTGTAGTAATAATAAATAAAATAGAAAAGCGATGCATGTATGAATAAGTACAATAAGTAGGATCACATTCACTGTAAAATAGATTAAATTTTATTTCAGTATACCATTGATCTATCATAGAATTATCAAGAAGTGTTTGGACAGTAGAATTGAACAGAAAGTGTCTATTCGAAGAGTTTGACAACAAGTTAACTGTTGTCGTTAATTGTTGATGCAGAAGTTTAAAACATGTTGAATTATAGTAACATTCTAATGTTGATGCTAGCGTACTATCGACAATGTAACAATCAATAATCATTCCCGGTATTGATACTGACCGATTTTGACTAATTTTAATGAAAGCTGGGCGCGGACATCCAGTCATATTCAAACAAGAACAATCATCAAATACTACGGGAAACATTTTTGGATAAGTCCAATTTCCATAATTCAATGGTGGATAACGAAGATAAAAATTGGTTGACAAACCAGATACGAATTGATTTTCGGATGTTATTCTTTGAATAGCATGCAAAGTACGAACTAAGGATGCTTGAGCCAAAGAAAGTTGATTATTAAGTGCTTCTTGAACTTGATTTCTGACAACCTCATCGGGTATTGCTATTGGACTAAGAAAGTGAGATAGGCCAAAGCTTGAAATAGCATCAGTCCAAGTATTCTTACTAACGCTACAAAGGCCTGCAATGACTTGCCAGAAATGACTAAGATAAAAACAAATATCAAATACAGTTGGGAAAGAAGTAGGCTTTGGAATAAATATTGAATCGATCCAATCTTGTGTAACAAAGTGACTTGAACATACTTGATGAAAATCAACGTGCGTTTTGACAAACGTTCCATAAGCAACGCCAATCTTCGAACATGGACATTTCAAAGTATTTGAATATTTTTTCCACAAATCGATAAACTTGACATATGAAGGTGAATATTCAATGACATTTTCTGTTCGTACAATGCATGCAGAAACAATGGCAATAAGAAAAAGAAGACTAATCATTGATATAATATAGACACGTGTTGCAAGTTGTTCCCAAACAATAGTTTGTGCATTGCTTGAGTGACTTTTAAATAGATTTAGACGAAGAAAAGATTTCCACAATAGTTGTAATAGATTGCACCCCATTGATATTATACTCTTGTTTTCAAGATTTCAGAAAGCTCTAAACGACAAATATTTGAAGTAGGCAGGTAACTATTTTTCGATAGAGTAAAATAAGTTTACAAACCATGAGTGATTTATCCATCATCAGATAAGCCTAATATCAATAGATGAAAATTTCAGACAAATATGAAGATAAGAAAAAAAGTTTTCGCTATAAAAATGAGAGAGTGAGTTCAATATTCATTTTCATTCATGTTCTATGAGAGAGTTCTATGCAGCTTTACATCTACTTGTATTCTAAAAATGAAAAAAAAAGGACGTCTTTGTTTCCAAATAAAACACACTGAAAATGCTAGTCGTCCGAATGAACCGTTATTCGACACTATTTTTGTAGTATTATTTTAATGATAGAAAAACAGTAAGCATAATTATCCAGTGGTATCTGCCAAATATTCTGTTAAAATACAGTGTGAACCGATCTCGTGAAAATATATACATGGAAAAAGACAATAAAACTGAGGAGAAAATCATAAAAGTTGAGCACAACATTTCCTAACAATACTATGTCATGAGTGAACCACCATGTTACCAATCGGAATTCTTTACTCTCATTTCTTTCATTTTTTTAGGAGATGCAATCGGCTATTTCCTACTTCTAGAATGTGTCTTTTCTTTTATTTGTGCAGTGATTATGATATTAAAAATTTTTCTTCGACTTTCTACCTCATATACACTAGATAATTTCCATTTTTCATGATGAGTAATTGTTTCTTTTCTTTCTCTCTTTTTCATCTCTTCTGATGCGTTCTATGGAAGAATAACTTTTCTCAGATAAAACGCGTGTATATTGTTTTTTGATTATTTGGAAGCGTTCTAAGCATTTTGTAACTGCTGAATTTCATCATTATAAAGCATTATTTCAATGGTGATACCGAAAAAGGTATCAACAACAAGAAAGAAAACAATAAATAAACTAGACGGAACTACAAAAAAGGCTATCAGTAATATGCTTAAAAACTAATGAATTTTTTTCTGAAATGAATAACTAACCATAGACAAAAGAAATATCATAAAAGGAATTGGAAGAGGCGATAACTCAAAATTATTATATTGCATGCTCAACATGTCTTTCAATTTGTCAGTATGTTCAAAGAATAACTCACATCCATCTAAATCCACATGAATGATTGTGCTGAAAACTGTCAACTGTTAATGACGTTAACGTGTGAGTATTGTTCCCTAGAGGTTTGTGATCTTCATAAACCTAGAACGTCTAGAAAGTAAAAATGGAAAGAAAAAAAAAACGTTATTCTTGAAGGATATGAATCTCATTTTTATTGTCTTGATATTGATTGATGATGGCAACTAGTAAATTAGTTTTTTAGGAAGAAACTTTGATAACATTGCAAAAAAATTTGTAGAAACACATCTCTAGAACAACTATTCTTGCGAATAATAGAGAGGAACCGACTCTTTTTATCTACTGTTAGTACTTAACGAAAAAGACTAATGTCTACTTATATTTATTTTGTTCTTACCCAATAGAAAAAGCATTGCTTGTTCAGAGAAAGAAAAAAAAACTTCATCTCATTTAAAAGCACTCTGCTGCTGTCATCCGTATCGAAAAAAGCCTACTTGGCAGACACGACTCAAAAATCATTGTTGTTAACTGTTGCCAAAAATGAGATGATATTTATTAAATATTGTTTCTTTTTAAAAAATAAAAAAGGCACTGCATTTCTGTCTTGTGAAGAAAAATCAGTAGCAGGAAAAAAATTCTACTTTATGAATTTTTTTTTATTTATTCTCGTTTTTATAGAAATGCATACAAGTGTTCAAAGATGATTACATTAGTTGTAGTCATAGAAATAAAGCCACTTAACAAGATATAGTTATTTAGTATCACTGCCAGATCCTGTTTGGAGTTGGAACATATTCCTTGTCTAGCTTTTTCAAATACGTTAAATAAACAATATATGATTAGAAACTATCGAAGGAGTCATGTCGAAACTTTGATGTATTTCCCAAAATATTTTGTCTGTAATTATTTGCCTTTCAACTGTTGCGATAATAAGCTGCCAAGTATTGACATTGATTTTTGAAATATATGCCATGAAGGATGTGGGTGTGAATGCGAGTGTCTCCTCTTGCAACATTCACACATTAGTCACATCTCCACCTTCATGTTCACTTCTATACACACTCACATCCACACTCACACTATATAATATAGTGAAACTCTTGAATGTATCATTTTTCGTGTCGTTTTGCCATTATTCGTTATTTTGCCGTTCTTTTGAATGCAATAAACTCTATGTCCGTAGGAATCCAATTAAAATTATAAGAGAAATGTGTCGTAAATAGTTTCTCATGCCCAACCCTCGTTCTCAAGATAAGTTTATGGCGTATTTATGTTCTATCTGCGGTTACTTGATGATTTTTCATCGATTTGTTCCGGGACAAACTGGATTTGCGATATGAAATATCGTTTCCATATTCTTAGTACTGTACGAGCCATTTTTGCTGAAAATTCTCTAGTTTCCACCGAGAACATGCCGAAAATCGTCGTATTCTGATTGGAATCATCAATCTGAGTATAAAAAACCCTAGGGAAAATCTTTGATATTTCAGAGCCAGATCCTTTGCAGACCTGACAAGGATCCTGCAAGGATTCAACGTTTTTTCCTGAGGAAAAGGCAAATCCTGAAAGAAGTGTGTAGCCAGGGAATTCCAAGATCTTGTCAGGATTCCCAACAAGATTATCAAGGATCTTGATAGGTTTACCATTCTTTTTGAATCAAGATTAGACTAGGCAATCAATAAATCCTGAAAGAAGTGTGTAGCCAGGGAATTGCAGGATCCGGACAGGATTCCAATCAAGATTTCTAAGGATCTTGGCAAGTTTGACATTGATTTTCAAATCAAGATTCAGCCAGGAAATCAATGATTCCTGAAAGAAATGTGTAGCCACGAAATTGTAGGACCCTTTCAGGATTTCAATAATTCAAAATTGCAAAAAAAAAGAATTCTGATCACATCTTTCAGGTTTTGACTAGATTTCCTCGAAGATATTATCGAATTTCTTGACAGGCTCTTTGTAGGATTAAGCTAGGTTTCCTTCAGGATGTTGTCAGCTTCTTGGCGGGATGTTTGCAGGATTTTCTAAATAGAATATAAGTGAAATGAACTCATAGAGTAGTGATCTCTAGACCTTCAGTTTACATATCGATCAGCTTTCTCAGCTGGATGTGCCATGTCATTCTATGTCACTTCAACGTTCGATATCTTCATTTCTGACTTTAATCTAAATTTTTATTTGAATTTTATGTAGATAGAAATTATTTCAACAAAATTCTGAAAATGGAATCTTATTTTACATGTTGATTTTAGTCGATAAAATTTTATCGTTTTTGAGAATTTAAATTCTATTTAAAAAATACATTTCAAATTTTTTTATTTCAATTTGATTTAAAAATATATTTGGATTTTTTAAAATTTTGATTCGATTGAAAAAATATATTTAGAATTTATTTATTTCAATTTGCTTCAAAAAAAATATTTGGAATCTTTTTCGAACATAAGGAAAATGATTAGTAGTTTTTATCAAAAGATTTGCTACTGATTAAAATTATATATTGAAAGAAAAAATTTTACAATGACTAAATTCAAATTAACACCCTAATTTAATGATTTGCAATTTTATTTTCTTGCTAAGAGAAAAAAGAACTCAATATTGTAGTTCAAATCTAAAAGCAACTTTTAAATAAACTTTAAAGAGGTTTAGAAAATACTTTTTTGAGATTTTTAAGATTCGTTCTATTTCTTTATTAAAAGTGCCAAATCAGGATCAGAATAGAAATGCTAGTAGATTATTCAGCTATCAGAATTTTGTCGTATTCCAAATAAAAACTCAACAACATCTGAAAAATCCTTCTATTTATTTTTGTTAAGATTATGCTCAACATTGGTATCGAAATTCTGTTATGATCTATAGATTTAAAAATCTTGAACGGATCCTGATTTAAACCTAGCTAATAACGTGAAGGAGTTGTTTCATTCATTCTTGCTACGTTCTTTACAGCATCCTGAAAATTAAATTTTGAATATAGTCTCTAAATACAATCCTGGAAAGATCTTAACTGGATCCTCGTATTTGCCTATCAAGATCTTGCTCATACTTGTACTTTTTTAAGGATTCGAAATATCTATTCTTGAACAGTTCCTCGGAGGATCCTGATCGTAGTTTGGCAGGATTATTCAATTGAGAATTGTCACTAATCTTATTTTATTCCTGGTAAGATCCTTCTC